CTAGGGGTGCAGCTCAGTGGCAGACATGGCACCCGCCCAGACTGTGCCAGGCCTTGGATTCAGTCTCTGATGTTGCAAAGCTAAAATAACAATGAAGATGGTGATGGTCGGCTTGACTTTACTTTTTTTTTTTTTTTTAGGCTTGAACCTGTGTGTGTCAGGACTTTACATGTTTTAAATTTTAGAACAAGCTGATGGATTGGAGAAGTAAAATAACTATCTACAGTCTCTCCCCCTGTGTAGGGACAGAGTTAGGCTCCTGATGCACAGGGAATGGTCAATGAAGTTTAATTCAGCAATTGTTGGAATGTCTGCTACAGATTATAGCCAAACATTTGAAAACACTAGCACCTTTATATTTCACTAAATGTTTAAAGATTTAATTTATTTTTTATTATTTATAGTGTGTGTGTATCGAATGTATGTCCACGTGTGTGTGCAGATGCCTGAGAAAGCCAGAAGAGGGCATCTGACACCGTGGAGCTGGGTTCTCAGGCAGATGTAAGCCGCTTGTTGGAGATGCTGGGATCAGAACTGTGGGCCTCAGGAGAGAGCAGCCAGCACTTTTAACCTTCAAGCCATCTCTCTAGCCTTTATTTCACTTATTTTTGATAATCTGGTATGATTTAAAAAAATCTTATGATGAATGTGAGTGTTGGAATCACACATGAATTTTTACCTCACAATTTAACAACATTTTGAATTGGTGAATATATTTATGTTCTGGCTTTAATAATCCCACATAAAAAACAAGTGGCGTGGTGTGGCAGATGCTCAGCCTTCATCAAATAACTCTGAAACTCTGAAATAACTCTTTCTTTATCCCGAAGGACTTGTATTTAGAGTAGACTTTGTTTTGCTCACTGTTGGTTGTTGGTGGTGATCACTTTAAAAATGAACTGTTGTGACAAGAAGGACAGCCTTCATGAGGTAGGCACTGTAGGGGCTGGAGAGATGGCCCTGTGGCTAAGCGACTCCTGTAACCTATACCCTTGCTCTGACTGTGAAAGACAGTCAGGTCCAGGCAGCCAGCTTCACCAAAACGGCAGGAGTCTGGTTCCCAGGAGACCCTGTCTCCAGGCAGTGGGGTGGAGGGCTCGAGAAAAAGACACCATCCTCATGTGTGCGCCCATATATTTATGTGCATGTAACACATACAGGTTTTTTTCACTTAAAATAATAGAAGAATTTGTGTGTTGCGGTGCTGGAGACAGAACCCAGGATTTTGAATGTTAGGAGAGAAGTAGTCAGAGCTGAGCTGCAGCCCAGTCCTCAGGAATACCAGCACTGCCCATGCTCAGTGCTGAGTCCTCACACAGCCAGGCAGGTCTCTCTTCAAAAGATGGGTTTTCATTTAAAAATTTTTTAGACAATATACTTTGGTCATATTCTTTCCCTCCCCAGCTCCTCCCAGCTCCTCCCCAACCCACCCAACTTCATATCAATTTACTCTCTCTTACTGTCTCAAAAAACAAAACCAAAAGAAAACAAAATAAAAAATCAAGACACGCTAAGAAAAAGAAAGAAAATTAATAATAAAACAAAAACAAGAATGAAAACAAATCACCCATAAAAACAAAACAAAAACCAAAAGCACACAAACAAATCACATGGACTCCATTTTGTTTTGGTCAGCCCCCACGGGACTCGGAGCCCGCCCTGGAGCAGCCGAGACACCCAGGGACACTGCATTCGAGGACACTGCTCTTCCCTTTCCCAGCAGGCATCACTTGCAAAAGGCTTCTTGGTTATGGGGGCTTTGTGCCCTCCTCCCCTTCTCAGTGCTGGATTTCCTCTGGTTTGAGTGTGTGCGGCTCTTGTGCTGTCCCAGTGTCGGTGAGTTCGTGTGTGTGTCAGTCCCCTTGTGTGTGGAGATGCTGTTTCCGTGGTGTCGTCCGTCACCTGTGGCTCTCATTCTTTCTGCCTCCTCTTCCACACAGAATCTGAAAGCACATCTGGGATGACTTCTGCTCCTGGAGCCACAGAAGCTGGCCACCCTCCCTCCAGGTCTCACAAGCCCTGAAGTCTCTTCTCATGTCTCACCCGAGCACCCCGCCCCCACACCCGGGCCCACACTGTCATCTGCCGGACAAGCAGGGTAAGAAAGGAGAAGCTGCAAAATCAGTGTGGATTATCAACGGGGTCATGACTGAAAATGTGGAGCCTGATGCAATTTCAGTCAGCCTGCCGCCGCGTACCCTTCAGCCGCGCCTTTCCCAAGAAGTCTAGAACTCTGTCAGAAGTCTCACACCCTCACGCTTGCCGGCAGGCATTCCATTAGCATAATTTGCCACCCAAGGTGTGAATGTGTAGTCGCTAAATTGGTGTGGAGAACAGTGCCCCGTGTCAGGACACCAGCTCCTTGCCATTGTAGTAGAGAGAGTTAAAAGTTGCCCAAAGAACAACTTTTACCTTTTTTTAAAGCTTCTCACACAAGTTTAACCAAAGCCATTGAGCTGGATGCTGATCTTCAGGCAAATGAAGCTTGTATCGGAGTCCTTGGGGGCTAAGGACAGGAATCCGATTTTCCTAAGTGTGTTGTTTGGTTCAGCAAGGGATGGGGTAGCCAGACACAAGAAATCACACAAACCACATTCACTTTTCAGACTTCAGAAACTGGTGTGTAAGCTAAAGCAATCAAGTGGAGAAACTGAGACTCTGAGTCCCCCTTTGTCTGCACTTTCGGACCTCTCTCTCTCTTTCTGTGTGTGTGTGTGTGTGTGTGTGTGTGTGTGTGTGTGTAGCCTGGGGGTTTGTAGGACTTACTTCACCAGCATTAAAGCTTTGTAAAATTTCTCTCGGGTCTCCATCATGATCTTCCTCTTTTAATTCCTAAAATTAAAATGTGTTGGAATGCTTGCCTGCCTTTCACTCCCTCCTCAAAGGACCCTTTAGTTTTTCACACCAAGGTGTCCTTCTTCGGGGTGCCAGGTCAGGCTACCAAAACAGCTTCTACTAGGGGATTAGCACCAATTAACATCTTTGTACACAAAAGCCACTGGCAGCTGAACGCGCAGGCTGGTGGCTCAGGGGCTGCATTTTAAACAGGCCTTCTGCGCTTGCTTGAGGAGGAGGAGGTGGGCAAAGTTTTTATTTATAATTGGAAATGCTGTTTTTGGATAAAGTCTAATGAAAGGCAAAGCAGAGCTCAAAAGTATCTACCAACTGCCAACTGCACCTTGGTCTCCATTGCCTGGGGTCCAGGAGGTGCTGACACAGTGTAGCCTGTTCTCTGGCCGCTGAGACGCAATGGTGTCCCTCCCCTGACAATTTTGTTCTTACGTTTCTCTTGTTCTCTCTCTCTCCCCCTTTCTCTCTCTCCTCCAAGCATAAAAAGCATATATGGTCTTAAAAGCCTTTTCCTAAGGCCTCTATCATATGGCACCTGGACCGCGGTCCTTGTTTGGGCAAACTAGAGGATGGGGTTGTGCAGTCTGTTTGTGTCATACACAGCCCTTCAGTTAGAGAGTTATTGTCATGGTCATCTCACGTAGAGCTACCAATTGTTGTGTTCTTTGGTTTTGATGTGCCTGCGTGTGTGTGTCTGTGTGTGTGTGTGTGTGTGTGTGTGTTTAAGAGGTAATGTATCTTGTATTCCTAAATACTGAAGTCAGTTAAGATTAGTGTTAAAACAAAGAGACTTTCAGGACCCAAGTAATTAACCGGCCTCAGAGCTGGTCGGAATCTTGTGGGAACAGTGTTGTTAAAGATGGAAGGGGGTGTCTCTGTGGTTGGCTGGACTGTGGGTTTCCAGGATCACTTTAAAGCTGGAGGGGAATCTATGTGTTTTAGGCTGCTTGATTTTGCACCTTTGTGCTTCCTCAACTGCAAAGTGGAGAGACTTTCTGTGAATGCAAGTACTGGGCATGGTAAGACTGTTTGCAGAACTGTCTTTGGAAGACGACAATGGGAACTCATGGAAACCCAGAAATCTGTAAAGAAATGAATCAGTGTATGGAAGGTTGTGGTGATTGGTGGGCTCAGGCTTCCTGAGGCAGGTTGCAGAGGGTTAGGGACACGGATGTGCCATATTCGGTCTCCTGTCTGTTATCTTTGTTTTATGAACAGAAGTGATAAAAGACAATCATATGCATTTCTCTCCTTCAAAGACCCCACTGGAAAATGGCCTTTTTTGCTGTTATTTTTGTTTTGTTTTGTTCTTAGATTAGCCTCTTGGTACCTACTATAAATTACGGTCATTTTCCATTTCCTGGGTTTCAGACATCACTCTAGCTTCTTTTGGGTGTAATATTTTCAAAGCAAACCTTACTACAGTCTCACTGTGTGGCTTTCCCCCTGGGCCCAGATTTCACATACTGTATTGTGTGTCTTCAGACATGCGGAGTTCCCTAATACTACATGGAAATTGCCAGAGGCATGGGTGGGGTGGAAACATTGTTATATTTTGTTGGTTTTCGCTGTGGCATTGCTCCTTTCTCCCGCTTTGGAGTGCAGGTGTGTGGGAAATGGCCGGCGGGCCTTGACAGGTTATTTTGTTGGTCACTGCCTAATTAGAAGAACAGTGGAAGCTCCCTGCTACGCTTTAGTGTGGGCAGCAGAGCTGGTCTGCTCTAATTTCCTCACGGCTTTGATACTCGCCAAGAGATTGACGGTTTACACAAAAAGCCAAGGCCCGAAGGAGGCCGTGGCAAACAATGAGCCTTCTTGCTTGTAGACACCACAGATGTGAGGGAAAGCTGGCGAAAAACAATCGGCTGACACTGTCTAATTGTCTCCGATGTCAGCGTCATTAATGTTTTCCCATGTAAACCGGAGAAGGCCAAGGTTGTACCCTCCCTTTATTCCTAAGGAGCATGATTGTGTAACTCACCAAGATTCAGATTAAGCCTTAATTGTATTTGTGCAAGAAAGAATCCAAAGCTACCTTGGATTTAATGAATAAGTGTTTAATTAATTTTGACAGCTTTTATCTTTATTACCTTTGGAGTGATCCTTATAGGAATTAATCACATTTTTTCAGTAATTAAAAAAATCACAACTCACTTCATGATTTACATTTATTTACATTGCAGAATTCAAACAAAAAAAGAGGAAACTTTGCTGATCTTCGGAGAAAGTTCTGAACACGTCTTTCAGCAGAACAATCATTTGGGGACATCAATGGAGCTTCTTAATTAGGTGACAAATCTGAGTGCTGAAAGGAGCCACGTGGTGAGAGCCAGGAGACATGATTTTACCAGGTCCCCCGAGAAACCCCAACCTGCTTAAAAACGAAACGGCTTTCCTCCAGGGAAGGGTAATCCTTGGAAAAGTTGACAGACTGGATTGAAATTCAATTAATTATTATTATTATTATTATTATTATTATTATTATTATTATTATTATTGGTGAGGTAAGACTCCTACTTCCTTCCAGGGCTGTGAACTGAAGCACACGGATACAATTGGTAATGTCCCAGCCACACATTTGCAGATGCCCAAAGCAGTCAGAGCTGCAGTGCTCGGCCTTTTGAATATTTCCTCACTCTCTCTCTCTCTCTCTCTTGAACTTTTCTCTCAGTGGAGCAATGGAGTGACCCAGAGTAGTGGCCAGGAGACAGAGCTGTGTCTGGGGGATAGCTCAATGTTAAGGTGCGTGCAAGGGAGTGTCCTGGGTTCAGTGCTCAAAGCAAACATACGTGTGCACGCACACACACACACACAGGCACATACACACACACACACACTCACAGAGACAGAGAGCTGGGGAGAATCCTGGGATTCACTGGCAATAAAGATGGCGCCTCCCGCATTTCTTCCCTCCGGCCAGCGCTCCCATTCCTTCTGAACTTAGAGTTGTGCAGAGAAAATCATATTGGCCTTTGGCTTCCCATAACCGTCCTTATGTGCAGAGCACCGTCGCTCAGCATCCACAGTGAGGCCCACGAGGCACAGGCCCCGATTGTCGCTAACTAGTTTTGTAGAGATGGCCGAAGAAATTCTGCCTTTGGGGTCAGCTTGATCTGAGTTTGAATCTGATGTCAGCTGCAACTTAGCGAGGAGGTTCCCTTGAACCCCGTGTCTCTGTATATGTATTTTATTTTAATTTTGTGCGTGTGCATGTGTGTGCTCACAAGTGCAGCTGTTCATTGAGGCTAGAGACACCAGCCACCTCGGAGAGTGAGAACAGTGCGCAGGACTTGGCATTAGAGACAAGGAAAGTGAAGCAGAACACAACAAAGCACAATCCTGGCCCCTGGGAGGCAAGAGCAGCGGCTCTCTGCGAGTCTGAGACCAGCCTGGTCTATACAGGAGAGTGTCAGGCCAGCCAGGGCTTTGTAGCGTGACACACCAAACAAACAAGCAAACGAGAAGACGAGGGCGGGTGGGGCGGTTAAGAGTGCTTACCACTCTTGGGCTCAGATCCTAGCACTCACAACTGCTTGTGCCCTCGTTCCTAGCTGGGCGTCTGCACGCCTGTGGTGTTGTTTGTGGCAGGTGTGGCACCGGGAGGAAGGTGCTGCGTGGAGCGGCGCGTCTGCCATGTCTACTAGTGCGTGACAGCTGTCCTGAGCACGCAGCCTCACACGTCACACGCAAGGGCAGCGTCTGTGCTCACAGCATCGAGGAGGGAAGGGTAGGGCACCGACGGCGACACTCACCCACGGTGACTGGGGCGCAGCATCAGGCGCTGAGAATCTGTGTTCACACCTCGGGCGGCTCAAGCACCGGCCGCCCTTCCAGACCACAGCTTGATTCTCTGCACACTCCGGCTCACAACTCTCGGTAACTCCAGTTCCAGGGGACCTGACACCCTCTGCTGGCCTCTGTGGGAGCCAGGCATGTACATGATCCACACACACATGGGCAGGTAGTGCGCGCGCGCGCGCGCACACACACACACACACACACACACACACACACACACACACACACACACACACTTTTAGTTTAAAAAAAGTGCATTCTGTTATGGGCGTCGCATCCCTCAGAGCCTGAAGCATTTTCTTTTCTGTTTTGCTTTTTGAGATGAGGTTCTTTACACAGCCCGACCGTCACTCTTCACAGGCTGGCTTGGCACTCGCAGAGACCCACCGGCTTTTGCCCCCAAGTGTTGGGGTTATGGGGGGCACCGCCGTGCCTGGCTTCCCGAGGGCTTTCAGGGTAGCGGTCAAGGGTGCGCATGTTGAAAGACCCTCCAGTTACTGAGTTTTGGTGGTGAAATTCTTCATGTCACGTTCCAGCGCCGGAAGAACAGCTCCTAGGCCAGGCCCCTCACACAGAGAAGGTGAGAGAGCGTTCACGCATGCCCCTGCTCCCCTTCCCCGCCCCTTGCTTGTGAGATTTTTTTTTTCTCCAGAGGCAGCAACAGGCTTACCCTGAGAGAAGTCTTCTCCAGAAGCTGCTCGTCCTGCTTCGCTCCGGTGTACACACTGTCTGCTGAGCTCTTTGCTCGGTGCTCCGGACCAGCTGGGAACGGATGCCGGATGATTGGCAGATCCGACGCTGGGCACAGCCAGCTGGGCCCGGGAACGCCCTCTTCACCCCTTTGTTTGAGTAGTTAATTTGTCCCGAAGGAGACAAGTGTTACAGTTTTGTTTTTTTTTTTTTAATTTCAGTTTATTTACTTTACATCCCAATGGTGCCCCTCCCTCCTCCCCTCCCAGCCCCATTTTCTCCTTTCCTCTCTCCGTTCCCTCCTCCCCTCCCAGCCCCATTTTCTCCTTTCCTCTCCCCGTTCCCTTCTCCCTTTCCCCCCAGAAATGGGAAGTCTCCCCCCTCCTATATAGGCCCTCCCCAGCACCTCAAGTCACGGGGGGGGGGGGACTGAGCACATCCTCATTCCCTGAGGCCAGGCCAGGCAGCCCTGCCAGGGGGGATGATCAAAAGCAGCAACAGAGTCCATGTTAGAAACAGCCCCACCTCCAGGCACCCTGTATGAAGAGCAAGCTGCTCATTGGCCACATATGTGCAGGGGGCCGAGGTCCAGACCATGCCTGCTCCTTAGTTGGTGTCTTAGTCTCTGTAATCCCCCATAAGCTTGACAGGGTTTGAATACTGTGCCTGACATTCATGTGGATTGGTTTATTTTAAAGACAAAGGAATATTTACTCTTACAACCATTTTGTCTGTTGAAAATTCTAAGCATAGGGTTAGGGGGTATGGGAAGCAAGAGGAGCATAGCTTCTCATTTGCAGAGGTGTCTGTTGTAGGCTGGTGTGGTCATCACAGACAGAGCTCGGCGACCAGAGGAGGCCGCGTCACCAGCTCACCCCTGCACTCACCTTTGCACCATGCAGCTCTGGAGCCAGTGGCTTCAAGTCAGGTCAGCCATGTATCCGAAACACGAGCCATGTGTGCGCCCTGGGGCTGTGAATGTAACATGGGGACATGCAGCAGCTTCACAAGTCTCAGAAGGAGGGTTCCTGGAGCAGACAGGATGTGACTCTGAAGAATCAGTCAGAGAAAGGGGGAAAGGGCTGTTTGCCCAGAGGAGAGAATAGCACGAAGGAGCACACAGTGAGGGGCATGGGACAGAACCTGCTTTTGCTAGGCAGGCGCGAGTGTGGGTTCCTCCTCCACATAAAGAGCTGTGCATGGACTCTTAACCCTCACCCCAGCTCTGGAAGATGCATACCCTGGGTTTCTGATACCCACTCCAGCTGCCGTAGCAGGCTCCCGGTTCAGAGACCGTGTCTCAAAAGCTGAGCAGAGAGCATCCAGTGCCAGCCGCTAGCTTCCACACATTCTGAGGGTGCACCCACCACCACACCCACCACACATGGTCACACGCACGCATGCACGCACGCACATGGGAGTAGAGAGAGATCTTGAGATTATAATATTTACCTGGGACATTTCAGAATGAAATCCAGCCATGATGTGAAAAATTCTCAAGAAGCCTCGATAGCTGCTGGCCGGTGCTCCCGCAGGAGAAGCCCTCGGAGAACTGGGATTGCTCTGTCCAGGGCAGCTGGCCTCTTCGGGACAGAGGCCAGCAAGAGGAGGACGAGGGGGAGGACAGAGGCCAGTGGGAGGAGGACGGAGGGGGAGGACAGAGGTCAGCGGGAGGAGGACGGAGGGGGAGGACAGAGGTCAGGGGGAGGAGGACGGAGGGGGAGGACAGAGGTCAGCGGGAGGAGGACGGAGGGGGAGGACAGAGGTCAGCGGGAGGAGGACGGAGGGGGAGGACAGTGGTCAGCGGGAGGAGGCAGGGGACAGAGGCCTGCGGAGGAGGAGAACGGCCATCTGTCCGGGCTGCAGTCCACCCAGCTGCCCGCTGCAGCCCCCATTAGCTTGGGAGGAAGCACAGACCCGAGCCTGAGGTCCCTGCCAGTCTTGCAATCGGCCGGATGCTTTGCCAGCAAGAGCTCGAAGAACGCCCCACCTTGCAGAACGTCCCTCTTTGTTTCCTTAAAAAATACTTTTACATGTATCTATTCTTTGTGTCTGAGTACGTGGCTTTGCCGAGAAACACACCGGTGAGAGCAGTGGACGTTCGAAAGTCATACCCTTTCCCACGAGGGTCCTCAGGCATGGACCTTTCCCGGGGAGCCATCGGGCACCCGCCTTCTTGCCCTCCCCTCACCCATCTCCTCCCCAGTCTGCTGGCCTGCCACCCATCCTTCCTCCTCCTGCCCTCCACCATCCCTGTCTCCTGAAGCTCAGTATTTGGCTTAGACAACAGAAAAACAGATAAATTAGTTTCAAGCCCATGCTTGCTTGTCAATGTATAACAAACAGTGAGGGTGCCTTCATCCTCTCCTGAATCCTGAACTCCTGGCTAAGCCCACAGAACTGTGATTGTTTGATCCTTTTTCATTCTATTTATTTACTTATTATTTATTACAGTTTATTCACTTTGTATCCCAGCTGTAGCCCTCCCTCCCTCCCTCCCTCTTCTCTCCTATGCCCCTCCCCTAGTCCACGGATAGGGAGACCTCCCTGTTTTAATTGATCAACAATTTATTTGAGATCTGATCTCAAATAAACATAAATAAACATCTCAGGCTGTCTTCAACCTCCTTATGTAGCCGAGGATAACCTTGAACACTCGACACTTCCGACACCCCCTCCCAGCTGCTAGGATTACAATGCGTGCCGCCACCACACGCCTTGTTCATTCTGATTGTGTGGCAATGCGCATAAAGTTTAATGTGAACACGCTTGACAGTTTCACAGCGGCACATGTACCCGCTCGGTGCTGTGGGGGCTTCCCGTACACCAGGCTCTCGCTCTGAGCCACGCCCCTGCCCTACCGCGCTTGCTTTTACATTCTATTTTGAGTTAGGGTGTTGCTAAGCTACGTAGGAAGGTTTGGACTTGTGATCCCCAGCCCTGGTCTACAGTGCTGATAGGAATGCCACGGGGTTGTCATGACCCCCACATTCCCGCCAAGAGCAGCCACGGTGCCTGCTTCTCTACAGATTCTAACACGCAGTTTTCTGTTTGTTTCACTTTTAGCAGTAGCCATTCCCATGCCCTGTGGGACTGTGGTTCTGATTATATTTCTGTTAGAAGGAGGGGTGATGACAATTTTTAAAGTGCTCTTACTGGCTACTTGTACTTCTTTGGGGAAATGCCTAGTGTACACATTTTTTTCTTTTATGATTTGTGACCTTTGTTTCCAATTAAAATTTTTGTGTAACCAAAAATTGATTACATAAAAGATGTGACTATAAGTAGGGAGGCTTGTAATCTTAGGTACTCAGAAGGCTGAGGCAGGAGGGTCATAAGTTCAAGGCCAGTCTGAGTAACTTCAAGAAACCCTGCCACTAAATAAAAAATTGATAGATAGAGAGAGATAGAGAGATGACAGATAGATGATGGATAGATAGATAGATAGATAGATAGATAGATAGATAGATAGATAGATGATAGATGGCAGGTACATAGGTGATGGATGATAGACTGATGGATGGATAGATAGATAGATAAGTGATAGAATGATAGATGACAGATAGATGATAGGTAGCGACAGACAGAAAGATAGAGAGATAGAGAGATAAATAGATGACAGATAGATAGATGATAGATAAATGATAGATGATAGAATAATAGATAGATGATAGATAGATAGATAGATAGATAGATAGATAGATAGATAGATAGATAACTGATAGGTGGATAGGGGCAGGGTTAGAGCTTAGTGACCCTGGAGAGTGCTCACAAGGCTCTAAGTTCAATCGTGGATATTGGAGAAGAAAAGAAAATCAGAATCTGCATAGCACTGCTATAGGGCAAAAGGCTTTCCCACATTCTGGAAAGTTAAGTTATATCCACTCTGAGTGAACTTCGCTATAGTCTGAAGTAGGAACTGCCCCCTGTTCCGGCCCACCTCCACTGCTCCATTGCTATTTGAAAATACTGTCCTTAGTGGGGCGTGGTGGTGCACACCTGTAATCCCAGCACTTGGGAGGCAGAGGCAGGGAGATCTCTGTAAGTTCGAGGCCAGCTTCGTCTACAAGTGAGTCTAGAACAGCCCAGGCTACAAAGAGAAACCCTGTCTCAAAAAACAAACAAAACAAAACATAAAAAAAAAACCAAACAAACAAAAAAGAAAGCAAGAAAGAAAAGAAATGCTGTCATTTACCCATGACTTTTCTTGGCTGAAAATCAGCTGACAAATGATGTAGGTGTGGACTCTCTTCTAACAAGTTTAGTCCAGACTTGCAGACTCGTGTGACTCTCCTGGCTCTGCTGTCAAAATCGAGTGGAGTGTTGAGGACAGCTCGCTTCTCCGTGTGGACCTTGGAGCGGCAGGTGTGTGTACAATAGCCCGTGCCCCATCTGCTCATGACTGCACGGCAAATGGCATCGTCTATCCCGTGCTTGGTAGCGGGCTCCCGGGATGGCTTCAGTCAGCAGCATTCAGCTCACTGGAGTCCAGACTTTTGGGGACACTCAAAAGTGAAGATGAAGCCCAACTATGTCATCAAATAGACAAGATGACCAACCTGTCAACCAGACAGTCGGTCAGCATCGGTTGAGACCAGAAGGCCACCTACATGGGTTGGTGGCTCTATTTGTGTTCCAGAGACAGAATTCCATTGTGCCTCTAACACCAACGCTGGTCAGTAATGCGCCTCCTCAGAAGATGGCCAGCAATGGGACACGGTGCTTACATGGTCATGGGCTATTAATGGCCCCCTTTGTTCTCGCCATCCAGAGCGCCCCATACAAGACCCCTGGGAGTGTGTGGCCTCGGAAATGGGCCTAAAAGGAGACCTTTGGCACCTGTGTTTTAGTGGCAGACTGGGGCAAGCCCATACCTGAGCGAATCTGATCAAAGGCCGTATGGGGCACAGCAGTAAGGCTGTGCGGAGCGTGAGCAGCCTGCATTCACAAGTGCCGTCCACACCTGTGTGGGAGGGCTTGCTAAGGGAAGCCATTCTGGCTCCTTAATGGACGGCCATGAAATTGACAAATTAGGGGGAAGGAAATTGCCTCCGTGAAAGCGCACAGCTCATCCTTCTGGGGACGGCTTGGCCTTCCCCCCAAGGCTGTAATTGTAGTTTCTTTTCTAATGGAGGCACTCCTCTTTCGTGCTTTCTCGCTCACCTTACGGCCTACTAAAGACGTCTGTAAAGGGAATGAAGTTGGAGGGTATAACTCAAAAAGTAGCTTTTACCTGAGCCACCTCTCCCAACGCGAAGACTGAGGCAACTCCTGCCAATAGAACATTCCTGAATTTCAATTAGTGATGGATAAATGTTGCCATCTTACTAGGATCAAGGCAATGTTTTATTCTGTTAAGGTACCTTTAGTTATGATTTTTAAACAACACAAATATAAATTGCACTTAACGTAAAAGCATGATTGAAGAATGTGTTTCTCCCGTGCTCTGTATTCTGAGCTCAGGTAAACAGATTGGATTAGGCTAGTGACCATGAGTTCTGTGCACGCTCAGCGCCTCAGCTGCAGCTCAGGGCGTGGCTCTGCTGCTTGCTCGCTTTTCCTCAGCCCGTGGTCTGTGTCTTCTCAGAGGCAACTTCCATCTTGATTTTCTGTTCATCCTCACACTTTATTTTTTCAATTTTAAGTTATGTCAGAGGCTGAAGAGATGGCTCAGTGGTTAGGCGTGTGCCCTGCCCTTGCAGAGGACCCAAGCTCAGTTCCCAGTGGCCACATATGGCGCCGCCTCACACATGGAGTTAGGGTGTGTAACTCCAGCCCCAAGGCATCTAAGGCTCTTCTCTGGCCTCTTCTGGCACAAATTCCAAAAACACGCGCACACACACACACACACACACACACACGCACACACACACACACACACTGTCTCTCTGTCACTGTCTCTGTCTCTCTCTTTCTCACAAAAAAACCCCAAACCAAAAGCCAAACCAAAAGAAAAACCCAAATATTTAAAAAGTCCTCAGGTTGTGGCTGCACAACCCCCAGGCAGCGCGTCACTGACGCTGGGATGCACTCTCCTCCGGCTTGTGCGATTTGCCCTGCGGCCCTGCTTTTCACTCTTCGCATAGTATTCTACCGCGCAACCTCACAGTCTCCTTAACTGCCATCATCACTAAGTCGTTTGCGCTGTTTCTCCTTACACTCCTGTGCCCGAGGCACACGCGTGTGAAGCGCTTTCTCTCTGTGTATACACTGGGGGGATCTTCCTCAAAAAGACCCAGTTCTTGCCTGTGAACGCGGCCCCCGGAAGGGCAGCAGGGCTGTGGTGTGGAAGGAAGGTTACCTGTGTGCGAGTGGCCCACGCGCGTGTCTGTGTGCTTTCCTGTGCAGCTCTAGGCAGCCAGAGCTTTTATATGTCCATCTAGGATACAATTGTCCAGAACCAAGTGAAGACTCACATTATATGGCAATAACTGTTTGAAAAGCTTTGCTTTTATTTGTGTGTGCATGTGTGAGAGTCCGGGAGTGGGAGTGTTTAGTTTGAATATGGAAGTCAGGAGTCGGTGGTCGTGTGTGTACTTGAGTGTGTGTGTGTGGGATGACTGTGAGTGTGGGTGACGAAATGTGTGATGTATGCATGATACTGTGAAC